AGCTTTCAATACTGGAATAAAAATACTGCAATCTCCAGTACAGCTCTCGATACTGGAATATACTGTACTGGCAGCACGGCTCTCGGTACTGTACTGTACTGGACGTTTTAGTACGCAGTTAAATACTGGAATAAACATACTGTACTGTACTAAACCTGCCCGTGGAAGATTCCTATGCACACAAACAGGGCGTGGGTGAGGATTGGCCACTGTTCGACGAACGAAGTCGACGCTGAACAATTTTTTGTTGCAGGCTACAGGGAACGAGGGTTTTGGAGCTTGGTCTTGCCGTTGACGCACGAATATTCCATCACCTAAGCTGGGGCGCAGAGTTCCGCTTCAGATCATTTGGAGGTTGTTCCGGCGGAATCATCCTATGTAATGACTGGGGGGACCCGGTACATCGGATCGATGGCACAGCATCGCCACGCTGCTCGCGTGGCGTCTAGTGTAGAAACGTTGGAATTTTTCATAAATGTCGAAAGGAACATGGCCTCGGGACAAGCACGTCCGGGTCATTGGCTTCCGTTTGGTGCTACGCATCGTCTGTAAACTATTGAATGCAAACGAGTACAAACGAGCCAAGTACACTGTATGCGGTCGCGTAGCCAGTCCTCCTTGGCCTATTAGGGGTGTTCCCCCTTGCCTAGGACACGTCGAGCGTAACTTGAATAGTCTCCCTGGCCTCGTTGTTTTCGGTTAAACTTGGCTTCTTTCGTTGTTTGATCTCCGCCTCATTTTGGTTGGTTCCCTTGTTTCAACAGAGAAATTGTCATGTACCTTGCAGAGGCTACGGGCGACGAGATCCGCACGGTTTCGAAGGTGACCACACCAGCAACCCTTTCCTGCTTTCATTGTGACGGATCGGTGTCGCGTAAGATCCCAGCTTTGCGGCCTCGGGGGAAAGACTGCCCGGAAGAGTAAAACCACATCTCGGTTCGCCTCAGATCGCAGATGCCCATGAACACAGTCGGCGCTTCATAAAAAAGATTGTCGCGGATTCGAAACCCAGGCTGCCCATGGGGAGTTTTCTTTCCCTGAGATCCCAGATACCCTGATGTAGTCAAAGTACGGGTGACGGAACAACGAGTTTGAATGTGCAATATCACTATGATCTTCTGCAGGAGGAGGGTGGTGAACTTCGAATAGTGGAACATTCTTCGGGTGGATAGCAGCGCCGGCGAGGGGAGTCACCCTCCTCTGAGTGAAAATGCTGAAGATTTCGAAACCCTCGACAAACGAAAATAATCATCCGCTGACGTGTCGCTGATGAAACAAATTCAACTTTCATGGGCCAGAACCGTCCATGGTTGTAGTGCCATTTTGGCACAGGCGTGTAATTACGTGATCTTCTTGCTGACAGCCGAACAATTTTTCATTCCGTTTCGGGTTGCTTTCGTTTCCTTTCCCCCCTCAGCAGCGGTATGGCCGGATAGTTGCGGCAAGTTCACCGGGAACATGCCGCGGGTGGCGTCATCACCAGATAGATTATCGTGTGGTCTGCAATACTCAGAATAAGGAGCCTTGACGAAGGCAATGGTTGGAATTGTTTTACGTTCTATATCCAAAATATGCATAGTTTCGTGTGTTTAGTAGAGTGGAGTATTTTGAGTAGAGTATCGACAGTCGTACTAAAGGTTTAGTAGAGTAGAGTATCGGGAGTAGTACTAAACCTAATAGTAGGTCGAGTAGAGTATCGAGAACTCTACTAAAACTTTAGTAGAGTAGAGTATCGGGAGGAGTACTAAACCTAATAGTAGGGTGAGTAGAGTATCGAGACCT